TCCACAACAAAAAAATTGTTTGGATATTCATTTTTTACCTTAACCCATGGACAAGTGAGTAGCGTAATTGCTTGGAATTGTGTTGGTTCTTCTACTTGATTTCCTCAATCTTGAATTATTGAATCGCTTGTTGCTTTAGGCTGTTTTTGATGGATTTTCCCTTGTTGAACAGTAAAATCCAAATAACTTTCATTTTTAGCCCTTTAGAAAGAAGAAACCCTTGATGTACTTAGTTGATGAAAAAAATTTAGGCACATCTCCATACCAAGTGTCACTTGAAATGCATGTTCTAGGTTGTATAATGGCTGCCCAAGTAATTCTATCTTTATATTTCCCCTTCAACCAACCTTGAATCGAGCAATTGTAAGAAAAGAAACACAAGAAACACAAGCATGGTGGGATGGAACTCTTCCTGTTGACCTTCCTACTTACCATGTATTTTCAGCAACAAAAGAAACACAAGCATGGTGTACATACAAAAAATGGTTACTCATGATACCAAATACCCGCAGTTTGATACCAACTTTTTGCCTAATAAGAGTGGATCAACATGGAAAAAGAAAGCTAATTAACGATAGCTGTCCTGCTGGCGTAATACAGCCCTAGTCATCAAATATTAGGCTTGGGGTCTGATTTTGTTGTAACAACTACGTATTTTGGTCTCCTTCGCAAGGGTCAAAAGTTTGTTCAATGCTTAGTTTCGATCAGTTTAAAAACAAAAGTGTTTCACAAATGTTCTAAAAATATGTTCCTACACAGAATAAAGAAAAAATTCAGAAAATGTTACCAAAATATTCAAAAGCACTAATCTAAACAAGAAGAAACTGTTTAGTTGTTTCGATGGGGAAAAAAATGAAAATTCCATCCTCGCTCCTTGGTTCCCTGCAACTCAAACTAGCCACATTTCTACAGTAGAACTAGAAACAAAACTGTTTTTAGATCACCCTCAAACTCCCTTACATCCAAGTGCAAAGCATCAAAAAGTCCATCCTTGTTCACTAGGTAGAAGCATCAACCCTGTGCCACTTGCACTCCAGTATGAAGTTCAGTCCAGGTAGCTTGAGGGGGATGCTTTTAACTCCTGCACAACCACAGCAGTTTAGATTCAAAAGAGCCTATATCAAACGGAAGGTTGTTGAAGTTCAAACGTCCTCTAGGGTGTCAAGATTAGACAAGTCAAGACCGGAGGGGGGACCCTAACCAGAAATAAAGGCCTTGAAAATCATGTCCACCGCTCTTTCTAACTATGCCTGTAAAGGAACTTAATTAAAACAGTTACGGGAGGTAGATTGTGGAAAACCACATGTTTCGGCATAAACAGAGAAACAAGAACTGCTTAACTAATAGACATGAGTGTCCAAGTCCTAGAACAACAGCAGTTTCTCCCGGGTACATAAATAGAAACTCAAAAACTTCAATATCACCAACTGGATGTCTGGTTAAGGCCATACAATCAAAAGGCTTCCTCGAGTCGTGCATGCCACTTTTTTCACAAGATCTGGGAACTACAAACCTGCAAAGTATAAAAAACTACTTATCAAGGCATGTTAGACATAAAATATTCATGCAGTATACAGGTAAATCGCAAGAGTCAGAGTCAACTAATCAATAGCAAAAATGGGTTTCTTCCCCTTTTATTTTGAACCTTCACATCACTCCAACTGTATGTTTTATTCCACTTCCAAATAGTAAATATCAATGTTTGTTCACGTATTCTATTAAATAAATGCAATAACCAGAATCCAACAGATTTTGCAATAATCAAGCAGCAGATGACAAACATAATCAGGGGCATTCACAATCCTAAACAATTATGACCTATTACATGAAAACTCTGAATTGGCAATCTTAGTCCCCCACATGGTAGAAACCTTGTGTTACAGTAGCGAAACCGTATTAGAACTCTACCAGCAAAAATTTAGGGTTATCTCATTCATAACTTTGCTTCATTTCAATTGTGCATTTGTGCTTGATGTTGTATCCCTTTTATAGATGCTCCCATGCCCAAATACAAAAGGATTTCTGCCATAGGACAGAACTAGGACCATTATTTTTTTCTTTTTCAATTTCTTTTTCCTTTGTGATGGGGGCAAGACATGTGTAAGGATAAAAGTGTCACAAAAAACGTGGCCAATCTATAAATAGACAAACATTCATGCGGTAAACTTTTTTGAGAAAGATGAGACAGAGCACTAATCAAAATCCCGATACGAATCTGACGATACAATATATGCACTAATCAAAAATTATTTTAATTTTTAAATAATTAATAATAAAATATGTATATACCTTTGTCAAAAAAGGCATTGCGTCATAATAACATAGTATTTTATTAATATTCCACCAACTATTCAAGTTCTCAACATAGTTCAATATATCAAAATGCAAAGACCTCTAATTCAAACTTTTAATCTCAACTGCTTGAATAACCTTAATATTAATCAAGAATTTTAAATTCAATTAAATAACTTTAACATCAGGCTTTATTTATTTTTTTTAAACCATAATCATTAAAACGACGTTATTTCACAAGCTAGTGCTTTAAAAATAAGTTCCGGGAAAAAACGATGTCATTTCAACCAAAAAAAAAAAAAAATCGTCATGTTTCGTACATATCAGGCGTATTATATCGTGTATCATACGATACGGTACAAAAACGATACAGAGACACAATACGCATCGTTTTTCAGGTATATTGTGACGTATCGTACGATACTAATAACTATGTATATATATATATATATATCTTAATATAACTATTCTTGAATAGTGAAAATACTATACTATCACTGTTCTGGAACAGTAACAATTACTCAAACACCTATCCAACAAGAAGTTATCAAACTTCTATCCCACAAGAACACATTCCAAAATTAAGCAAAATTTTTCACAATATATAAGAATAAGTATACACAAACCTCTATCAAGATTGCAAGATTAACAACGATACTTGAGACATATGCAAGGACAAGTCCGACGACGCTCCTTGCTACAAAGATGAGCCAATATCCACAACAATCTGAAAAGCAGAGGTTTCTATCAATATATTAATGGTTTTAAGGAGCACAAATAATAAATGGATAAAGAAAAAAATTTAAATACGATATAGGGCAAAGGAGAGAGAAGATAGAAAGAGTTAAATGAAAGCGATAGGAGAAAGAGACAAAGATTAAATAAGATATAGAAGAGAGATACAAGAAAAGAGAAGAGAGAGAAATGAATCTAAATAAGAGATAGAAGGGAGAAGGGCATTAGAGAGAAATTAAAGAGAGATAAGAGAGAAAAAGAGGGATTGAAGAGAGAGGATAGAAAAATAGTGGGATGGAAGATAGAGGAGAGAGAAGCGACTTGAAGAAAGAGAAGTGAGATGGATAATAGGACGAAAAAGAGAGGAGAGAGGAAAGAGAAAAGAGATATAGTAATTGATGGCAGAGAGAGATCGAAGAGACTCATAAATGTGATAATTAAGATAAGGAATATTATTGTTATTAAAGATTTTAAAAATAACAAAGTGGGACCACACACCTAATATATTCTATCGTATATGAACTTAATAACTTAAAAAGTTTGTATTTGTCCTTATTGACAAAAATAAGAATATATTACACTGCCTTTCAATTTTTACTTTTTTTTAACAAGACAATTCATATTTATTGTCATAATATCTAAAAACCCAACCAATATATAACCACCTCGTACCTTATTATTTTAATAGGAAATTTCAGCGACTGAGAAAAACGACAAAAAACTCTTAGTTATAGAAAATTGAAAATAACAATTAAATTCATTTTCTTTTCCTCAGTGAGTGATCACAACCAATTAGATTTTCTATTTTCATTCTCCTATTTCAATTCTTTTTTTAGACGTAAAATAGTCAAAGTTCTTTAATCAAAAATGTTTTGAATTTCGCAGTCTCTCCTCTATCTCTCTCTTTTAAGATCAAAACATGTCAATTTTACTATTTCTCTTCAAAAAATCTCACAAGATTAACAATCCAACTCTAATTTTCTACCCTCTTGAATGTCCATATTGTAATTTCTCAAATTTTAATCATATGTTTATGCTACATATGTTTTTCATAACCTTTTTACAGTTTGGAAATATACTAGGTTTGTTTTATGACTGTTTTTAATACTTCTATATTGTTACATATTTTTTTAGTCCCATTTTTCAGTTTAAAGGATTTGACATGTCAATCCAATCCTACGAATCATTTTTTAGTCTCTCCCATCGGTCCAAGTAGGATCCTCATCTTAAAAACCTAGGGCTAGCATATATAATATAGAAGGAATTACATAAAAAGAATGATAAGAAGGCACGGGCCTTAAAAGAACTTCCAGAACCTTTGATGGTCATGACCCCCAAGCATCGACCACCGGTTCACACCTTATGAAGGGAATCTTTCTCCTTTTTTTTACACTTTTTTCCCCTTTTAGCGAGTTAAAAAGTTTTTGAATAACCATGAGTTTAGTCCTATCTTATCAGGTTTAATAACAAATGAGCAAAACCAGAGCTGCACTGTTTTAAGTAGAATGCTTTTCCATGCAGTAGTTAACACATGCACCCAACACAAGATTACATAGACAACTGATTACCATGCCCCCGAACAGCAGAAAACCAACCCTTTTATTTTAATCAGACGGAGTAAATTCAACCAAATGGTTCAACTTTCACAAAATGGATTCCAGAGTGACAGAACAGAAATCTATAGTTTTCCTTATCTAATTACGTTGAAGATTACATGACAATTGAAAAGCTTCCATAATCTCCACCATAGTTAACCAAACTTGGATAAAAGTTAGCCACATTCAGTTGAAAGTCATTTCATAAGAAATTGCTCAACTGAAAAAAAAACCTATTTGTTTGCTCGACTAATATTCTTTTACAGGAATAAACAAAAACAAACAATTCACAAGAAGACTCACTTACATAAAACATTCTTACCTGAACAATAACCATTCATCCAATCACTTCATGTTAAGGCTTTAATCCCAAATCAGCTACTTCTTCTTCTTACCACCACCAGCCTTTGACTTTTTGATAGTATTTTCCTTATCAGCCTTCTCAGATGTTTCCTGTGATTAGGGTGGGAAAAAAGATGGACAATATAGAAAAGATTCAGATTATATATAACTAGGCAAAAAGAGAAAAACAGCAGCATATGATGAATCTAGAGCATTAGTTATTGATTTGCAAAACTGTCAGAGCAGTTATACAACTTGTGGCCCAAAAAGATCAAATGGTAAATGGTGTAGCACGAGAGTGACTAACCTAAATGTAAAATTTGCAATGTTCTTGCTTCATATAGCTTGAGGCAAGGAATGTGTTTGTTCAGTTGGACAATATTCTCTTTCCCCCAAAAGAAAAGGGAACAAAGAAAACAAGTGAAATATTGAAGCTCGAAAACTCTGAATACATTAAGAAAATCCGGCCCCATTAAGAAGATGGTGAATTTATTAGAGAAATAACTAAAGGGAAATGAAAATATCCAATTCATTTGTAAGAGATAATGGCAGGCAAAATTTTGACTGGGAGCTTAATAGTCTTTCTCCCTTCTCTTTATATAGATTGTTACTATATTATTAATAAAGTAGAATGTGTCCTATCAACAAAAAGTTAACTTTTCTGTAGACCGACTGAAGCTCCAGAAAGTTGCAGCTCTAAGTTACTACCAAATATTTATTTGGTCTCTCCATCACTTTATTGCACATTGATGATGTGATAGCACCATAACATCAAGAAAACACAAATTCAAGATCACCATAAATATATGACAATTTTGCTGTAGCCAAGCAAATTAAGAAAGCAGAGAATAAGCACAAATTTACTCTGAAGGACCACCAGTTTCAGCTTCATATGCCAAAGCAGACACCTCTGGATACCAGCATGGAGTGCTTAGAACCCAGAGCTAAAGTTGGCAGGCCTAGGATACCTACAACCATTAGCCTGGATCGCGTAGAGTCTTGAAGAGAAAACATCTTAAGCTTCATTACTGATTTGTGGGATCCAAGAATGCATTGAGTTTCCTGTCAGCCGGGGGTACCAAAAATTATGGTAGCCTATCAGGACTAGACTCCAGTAAAAATCGAACAAGTTTCGGTGTAAATGTTCTATCTTTGTCTGTTTTATTTCCCACGATTCTGAGGAAGGAAATCTAACAGAAACCTATATGCTAGAGGCCGAATAGAACATGAAGAAGTAGATAAGAAAAGTGTTTTTTACATTCCATAAGGAATGCTTCTATAATGACAGGAATGATGATTTCAAACACACTAACCACCAGTGGCATGAGGTAGGGGCAATTATTCCTAGACCTTCCATAAGGAGGGGATGCAAAAGGTGCATGGAAAAACTAGCAAGGGCATTAAGATAATTTCATCACATATAAGTATTTTCCTAATCAACCAAAGGTTCAATTCACAAAAAACTAAGTTGAAGCACCTAATATTACAAAAGAGCATGGATAAAAGAAGCAGCAAGTGAAGGCTAAAGTCAATGTGGCACAGTGGAAAAAGGATGGACTAGCATCTCAACGGATGTGTCACGATAATGAATTGAATCTCATGGTCTCTAAGAAAATAGACCAAGTGAGGCAGGGCAGCATTGTCAATAACAAAATTAACCATCTAGAGGAATGCTATCTGCAAACCTCTTACCTTTACCAATATTTTAGCATGAAACAGCCACACCTAATGTAGTCCACCATGTAGGAAATTAAATTTCTTTTCAGAAGGTGTAGGAAATTGGATTTCAAAAAACCTACTTCCACCAGCAGCAGATGCTTCAAATGATAGATGACAACATACCTTACGTTTAACTGGCACAGAAGTGCTAACAACTGGCTTAAAGAAAGACTCTAATCTGTTGATGCATAAAAATTAAAAAAATTAGGACAGCAACAAGGTGTACATTAAGAAAGAAACAATTTTTTTCCAGAAAGTACAAATAATCAATATTTTTCCAATTCATTTGAACTTGTTAAGCATTTCATACCGGCCCTGTGATGACTTGTTCTTGGCTGCTTTGATTTTTTCTATAGCCTACAATAATGCAGAATCCAGAATTAGTAACAGTAGACATCACTCCTGTGAAGCAATAATCCACATGCACATCAATCGTAGGAAAATTAAGAATTTAGGGAGTGCCTTTGTAATTCTGTCACCGTTGAATCCATTTTCGTTCACAAGAAAGTTTATCAGCCCCTAAAAATGACAAAGTAAAAGAAACCACTGTAGAAATGCAAAGAGAAGAAAGAACAAGACAATCTAAAGTTTTGTCTAAAATCAATCACTTCTTCATCCGGAGCATTCCACTTAATCTCGAGTTGCTCATCACCAGAAAAAACTAATGGTTCCTTGAAAAGGTGGCGGGCCTGTTGATATGGCCAATCATCAGGTATCTGGTACCTGCATATCAAGAAACATTTATTCTAAGTATCGATCTAGAAACAGTCTATTACTGCATGGTTGTTAACTGTTCAACGTCAAAGGAACTTAGAAACTTTAGAGGGCAAAATTACTCGCCCATCCAGATGCAGTACCCATGATAATACATGGACTTTACTTTATCATTGAATATCGCATTGAAGATTTAAATTAATATTTTTCCCAAAAAAAAATTATATCCTAAATATATATTCATCAAAATTAGTCTAATTAAACGGATAGCAAAGGACTCAGTTGATGCACCTTGGCAAGATACAGCTAACTTTATACTTTTCTAAAATACAATTACCAACTCATGATATACCCCATCACAAAAGCAGGAAAAACTACAAATATCAAAACACAACTACTAGGCCTTATGGGTTGTTAATCTATACAAGAGCAATTTAATACTTTTACCCTCATTATTGTTAATAAAACATGTCAAAATGATAGATGCGAGAAGATTTCAAATAAGAGAAACAAGATTAAGACTTAAAAATGATACTTCTGTTTTTTATTATTTAAACAAAACGGGCAAGTTGATCTAATAGAGGCTACTTCTAGTTGTTCAAAGTCTCATTCGGAACTAAGAATCAAAGGGTATCATGTATCAAACAAAAAAACCAGCGCACCAATGGGAAAATATGAGAAACTCCAATAGCCTATTTTTTAAAGTTGGTGTGCATTACAGACACAAGGCATTTGAAATAGGTATACTTGCAGATAATAGATTCATGGTGACAGAAGATGAAGAAGAAGATTAGGTGTAAACTTTTTACGCAAATTACCAACAATGTTAATTGGTCCAGGTTGCGACCCCTCACATGCACAGGCACAGGCACCCAAATGCAGTCATTACGTCATAGATGCATGCCCAGGAATAAGTTCAGCCTTCTTTTACTTGTGAAGGATAATTTGAGCATGAAAAACTGTGGTATTGTACAGTCACACTGAATCCGGCTTTTAGGCATGAAGATAAAGCCCATTTTTGATATGTGGATATGTACATGTTTTCATAGCTTCTTTCCCTTAGAATGATATATAAATACATGAAAAATATCACCTAAACCAAAAACAAGACAACATATAAATAAGGATTAAAATTTTGTTTCTGGTACTTAGTTTTGGGCAGCTCATAAGTGAAGACGTTTCGGAAAAATTTTGGAAACAGAGTAGAAAAATATTTGGAAATTTGTTTCCAAAACCTTGGTCAAAGCATGCCAAAACATTAGGAACACAAGTCAAAAAATTGGAATTTCGATTTTCGATCATTGTTTCATTTCAGAAACAGAAAAGTTTTGGTCAATTCAGTGGAAAAGAAATGAAATTTTGATCCTTGCATATAACATAGTATGTTCTCATTCAACAGCCAATCAAGTTGATAAATTTTGAACCGAATAATGAGAAACACCTCTCTTTGTTTATGTTCTCCAGTATATTCTCTATTGAACCATGTTGGCGGATGAGCTTCAAAGCAGTCAGGCCCCCAATTCCTGATGCACAGAGTACGGCTTTTAAGGGAAGCAGAGCATAAACTTCAGCTGATATTTACATATGAAATGTTGAAGCAAAAGGGAATTGGCAAGGCTTGAGGTTAATTAATGTTTAACTGCAAACAATATACCAAATGAACAAGAAAAAATAACAAAAAATAAAGCCTACAAACATTTTGCATATTAAGCATTCTTCATTATTTCCAGGTAAAAGCTTGAAAGCATCAAGTATGTTTGATGTGAAAGAAATATGTATACAGTTACAAGGTAACCAACAAGGCTAGTTATAGTTGGAATTCTAAATAACAAGATGGTGCACAACATGTATGGCAATTGCCATGGTAAATGCTAAAGGGAATTTAAGCAAATGGACTTACAAAGAATTCCCATTCCAGATTGCAAGTTGAACAGATACTTGCTTTACCAGTGTTATGATTGCAGACTCGGGGAATGGGTAAAGATTACTTGGCCAAATTGTAATTCAAAACATTTTTTTTTTTGGTTTTGGATAGGATGTAATAGCTATGATCGGACAAAATTTTCCAAAGGTTCGATGCTTTGAGGGAACCCTACTTCTGAGTGAAGAGTGTTTGGAAGAGTATTCTCAGTTCTAGATCGTCATAAACGAAAAGGAGGGAGAGCAAGTATGAGTACAGCTGAAACAGATTACATTCAAGATATCCAAGAGTAGGAGTTTGCAACAGTCAACACTACATTTCCAACTTCCTAATTGTAAAGGAAATCCAAGAACTACTTGGACAGTAAGATTTCTCAGCCAAGATAGGTACAGGAAAAAGGACATACACAAAGTACATAACAAATGTATGAATGCAATATGGGGTCCGTAGCATGTGATAGCCTCTTCATCCATTGCTTTTGTAGGACCCCCAACCCTAGCCACAGGAAGCTTCACTAAAGGGATGCATTAAGAGCAAATTTCCTTCTGATCCAGAGTAATACTTTTGGCTTCACCTTACCTCATATTAGCTTCCTCTCTCAAAAAAGCACCAGAAACATGCATCAGAGGTATGCTGTAATCTTGTGTAGTTACAGGATATCTAGGCAAGAGAGGCCAAACATATTTTAATGCACATACATGCGCTGAAAACTCATAGTACCTCGAATGCTGTCACAATAATCACACCCAGAAAGGATGCACAAGTCAATGAATTGATCCATTGAAAGGCTCAGCTCCTCCAAAACCTTAAAAATAGTAACTATTAGAAGTACTGGATTAATGATTAAGCAGCCGCAATCAAGTTCAAAGTTTTAGGAACCTTTGAAACTTCAAATTCCATAACTGGAATCTTTTTTGAGCTAGGATCCATCAGATGGCGAAGAAATCTAGGAGCCCCAAAAGTCAGGGAATCCATGTCTTCAGAGGCCACAGCATAAACCTGACAAGCAGAAAAATTTTAATATGAACTTCGAAATCTCAACTTTTGACAGCATGTTAGCGCATGCCTTTGTTTTGGATAATGTCATTTATTTCTGATATAGTTTGCAGTTGCAAATCCCTCCCAATTGATGAAGGCCTTACACAAAAGAATCATCAGCACAATTTCCTTTCTATTTTGTTTCTTTATTCTTTTTCTAAAACGAGAAGTACAAAAAAGGTCTATGGAATCATGGAACTATGAAAAGATGAAAAAAAAAATGCACACTCGCACTCAGATGCTGTTAAAATGAACGACCTTGTTTGGCAAAAGAATTGCAGGAAAAAAATTAATGGAATGGTGAATGATTTAATTTCAATAGGCATTATGCAACCTAAATAACAAAATTAATATCAACTGTAAAATACATGCCTCTCCTGATCTACAAAGAGCAGCACACTGAGCCTCTGCTTCAGAAGGAGCCTAAATAAACCAACAGAAAAGAGAAGTTACAATTTGACATATTCTACTTACAAAGCATGGTCAGCAAGCATATATAATTCGTGGAGAAGCTTTGTGCAGACGAGGTACAAACCGTTTCTGCATGCATAAATTCACATCACTAATACTTTTTCCAAAAAAAATCACCTCTATTACAGGCACTCCCATGAGTCTTAGAAGCTTTTTGCAGTCCTCATTGTGTTGCCTGGTTACCTGAGAAGTAAGAAGCACATGGCCTCAATAACATGCAAGTATTCGTACCACCTTCATGCAGGAGCAAAAACAAAAATTGAGTCAAGCAATTAAATTCATCATCAGTGTCATGATGTATAAGTAAATAGAATAGCTCTACCTGTGTCCAGGATAGTATGGTTAGACTTGAGTAGGTTGAAAAAAGGCATACAACCTTAGCAAGAACGATGTTTTGCAAAATAGATGACTTGTGCTCCTTTAGGTTCTTCAAATTTCGTGGGTGGTGTAGTTTCTGAGATCAATGCAGTCAACTATGTCTCTCCGAGGTCCTGACATCGTATTCTATAACTAAGTAAAAAACCCACTCTTTTAATGGGGTGGACTTGGGGAAGTTCTTCAAAATTCTTGAGTATATGAATCCATAAAGAAAAGGGAGCCCTTGATCCTACAGAAGTAAGCAGATATGTCTATGGCCAACTTGTCGAAATCCTAAAACACGGCATTAGCAGGGTTGGGTCCCCCTGCAAAGTATGGTTTGTTCTTTTTGCGTTCATCCATCACAGCTAGTTTGATGGCACGCCGCAAGAGAAAAGTAATCCAAATGTGCATGTGTTTGGATGTATGTCAGATCAGCTTGTTGCACTGGCTTCTCTAACTTGATTCTTCCCTAAACGCTACGTCAAGTAGCATTTGCACAAAGAGAAGAACACAACAGACCCGGACATTTTTAGTTCATTACAATTCTTGGTTGGAAATAGTTAGTCATTTCTGATAGGTCTAAGATTTGTATTTTCCAAGTTCTGAACACTAAAATTTTTTTAATTCAACAAATTTTTTATTTATGTTGGGTTAAGGTCTTCCTTTTGTGATCCAGCCAATTAGATGTTTTTTAGATCTCATGTTCTTGCATAATTCAAGTCCAACCAAATAATACCGTATGGATGGGAGATGTTTTAGAAGGTTAATATGCCTCTACAATTTTCTAGCACATGGGAAGCCGTGGATGCAATCTTTTGGGCTGTGGGAAATGGCAGCCACTTTCTGATTAACCTTTAAAAGTGACATTTCAATATACATTAAATGGGTTAAGTGCTTGTAATTCATGCTTGCTTGTTTGTAAATTGAATGATTTTGTTAGTATAGGGTATATTTAGGTATAACTTGAATTGCAGGGTGAAAGTGTAATTTGGCAAAAGTTTGGGGACAAAAGGAGACTGAAAAAATGGATTCGAGAGAAAGAAAGAAGAATTTCTAGAAGGAGGTTGGCCACCACCGTTTGAACACCCATCCCTATCAAAGGATTCCCAAGCAAACGGCCACAAAGTGGAAAAGATGACTGTAGACAAGCGTCCGGATGCTTACCACCACCGTCCAAACTCCTCTTCCAGATTATAAATTCAACAATGTTTTTCCATAACAGATAGTGGCGTCCGAACGCCTACCACTACCATCCGGACGTCTCCCCTGAAAGCTAGAAACTATTTTCATATCAAGCTTTGGATTTCATACAGATTTTCAGCCTTCTTTGCCGCCCATCACCCTCTATAAATACCCCTTACACTTTAGAAGAAGATCATCACTTCTTAGAAGCATTTTCTCTTCCAAATCTTTTCAAGCTTTGTAATGTTTGTAATTCCTAACTTCTACATTTCTGAAGCTATCTTCTTTATGTAGAGGAATGAACTTCTCTCCCCTTTCTAACTCCTTTTAAACATTAAAGAGTGAGTAGTATTTTATTCATTCTTTAGTAATAAAGAAGCGTTGTACTTATCTCTTGTAATTTCTATCTTCTTCATTTGGAGGGATAAACTTCTCTCACTTTTCTAACTTCCTTTGAGACCATGAAGGGTGAGTAGTATTTCATTTACTCTTTAATGAAGAAAGATTTTGTATTTATCTTTTGTAATTTTAAGTTCTCTTTACTTAGAGGGTGAAATTCTCACACTTTTCTAGCCCACTTATGGTCATCAAGGGTAAGTAGTTTATCATCCACTCTTTAGTGAAAGGTAATAGATGTGTAATGTGGTGTTTGGGTAATATATATTGTGCAATTTCTATTATACTTATTTCATCTAACTTTTGAATTATTGAATATATTTGGTAAAGCTAATATACTTTGTACAATGGTTTGATCACCTATAGACAAGTTGAGTCTTACTATAGGTGATACTTATAATTCCCTACAAGTACTTAAGCTAGATTTTCATGATAATCTTTCAATCTTCATTTCTATTGTGCTTAACCAAATGATTGATTAACCCACTCAGCTGAGTTATTACTGTTGCACAAATATTACACTCAAGCACTCATGTATATTTTCGGATCCCCAAACTAAAGAGTAGCTTTTCTTTATTATTAAGAACATTTTCTAGCATACAACTCTCCACAACCACTCATTTCAAAAGTTTTTTTTTACTGTTGTCTCTATTGGTCTTCTGTTTAACCAATATTAATTCCCTGTAGATACGATATCGAACTTAGCAGAGTTATTACTACAACTTGACCACTTACACTTATGCGTACATATCTTTGATCAAGTCACTTTCATGCCATTAATTTCTCCACATTTTCCCAACAACACAACTTTATGATTTCTATGATTTTCAAATAGTTAAAGCATACATGGTTGAAAAAATATATGAAGAACTCACCTTCACTGTTCGTTTGCTAAATTTTTCAATCTCTTCCTTATTGCCAGTCTACAATGACAATAAAAACATTGTTGTATACAGTATATCATTATGATTTATGAATACAATAAAAACTAAGGAAAAGGCAGAAGAAAAAATAACCGAAATTGATATGCAACTTCAATCTAGGGAACATATATTCTACCTCTAAGGCCTCATTCAAGTCCTCTGTCGCATCTACTCTTTTTGAGTAACTGCATCAAAGAGTTGGGTAAAAAAACATCCAATTAGGTGAGCAGTTCATATATGTAATCATGTTCAAAAGAAAGAGCACCAAAAACAAGTTATTGCCAACTACAAATACCGTTTTGCAAGTTCTTGTTTTTTCAAGTCTGGAGGTTGTCCATCAAAAACATATCTATATTCAAAGGCAAGGTAGTTTAGAAATGCACAAACTTTACCACGCAAAATGGGTAGAACAGAAACTATATCTAGGATAAATATCTTTTTCTTTCGGGAAACTTCCAAAATGCACTTTTTTTGTCAAGTGAAAAATCAAATATACATATCACAAAGTAGAAAGTAGAAACAACATACAGCGGCTTAATTCCAGCTTCCAAAAGCCTAATTGTCCGAGTAAACATCCCTTGCAAATGACTACAAAAAGGATCACAACACATCTTATTTAGAGAGTATAACAATCATGTTGTTCTTATCAAATTTTCCTACCAATTCACATGATGGAACCACTATCATAGGATGATTAGTGGGACTCAATGGGATCCACAAATCTAGCAGTCTACATGATAAGGAATAGTCCGAATAAAAAGTAATCAAGGTTTTTCCTAAACAAAAATATAATCTTGCAAAAATATAGAGAAGAGATACCTGGTAACTTCGCCAGCCTCATTTGTAAGCATTTCAGTCCCAGTTCTTCCCACGACAATCTGCATCATCCATAAACATCAATTTAAGTTCAAACACACACACCCGTACACTAAATCTAAGCATAAATAACCACAAATGTGAAGGCAGAGTGTACGGACAAGGAATTGGTAGATGCTCATGCTGGCATCGATTGCGATTTTTCGGCCAAAATAACTTTCAAATTTCTGCTCTTTCATGGCCTTTGGAGAATTGTCAGCCAAGAGCTTCGTTAAACCCTAAAGAACGTGGATGAAACCACATTAGAATGTGAATTAATTTGAGCAAAATTAAAGAGAAACTGATGACTTCCATAGCAATTATATACCTTTATGCCCATTTGGATAGAGAATTGAAGAATTATTCTCTGAATTCGAGCGGTAACTCGTTCCAGGCTTAGCAGACTCTTTCTCTCTCCGAGGTAGGGTTTAACCCTTTCCCGCCAGCCTCTCGTCTTGTAATGGCCCCTGGACTCTAGATCGTCTGTTGTGGGCCTCGTGGCAACTCAACCTATCATCCTTCCGCGATATGGAGTCGGGCAAATTAGAAGGTACATGAAATTAAACTTAAATTTAAAAAAATACACAGAAATTAGATCACCTTATTAATCGCGGCTAACGACGAACAATGAGATCCTCTTTAACTATCACCTTATTAAGGGGTTATGCCGAATTTTGAAAACTCTTCAAATCACGAACAACACTTTCACCTTTCCTCAATTTGTGCCAATCGAATACGAAATCTTTTTTCAATCGACGTACATTGCACACTTCTTGGTTATGGAAGATAAAGAGTTGGACTTTTTTCACCGAGAATTCAGTATTTTTTGCATTAATCTTAACAAATTTGTTGGTTTGGGAGAGGGAACCATATGTGGATCTTCTTTCAAGATTATACATGTGAAACAATAGACACTTTTATCTAGAGTGGAGAGGTGAATAGATTTTTTTTTTTTTTTAATTTTAGCCCAATTGATTATTAATTAAAACCTAAACCACCACAATTATCTCATCACACAAACATATGATAATTAATGTAAGAATCATTTTAGTCATCATAATCCATCTTAACCATGAGGATATACGTTAATTAATATTGAATTAATTCATACACAATCAATCTCACATTGATCCCAAATCCCAAACACAATTGCACACTATGGATTAAATAGTTATCAATCAATTAAAATATCAAACACATAGTGTGCATATATGCAAACAATCACAAGTGCATATGATAAACAGTAAATAACATGAGTGATTTGTTGACGCAGAAAACTCTCAGGAAAAATCGCGATAAATCTTCTTGGTTCGTCAAAACCTAATTCACTACTCTCTAAGTCAACATACAAGTACTCGAGTCTTATACCTCAACCGATACCATAGTTAGATGCTTTTTTCCTTGTTGTCTCTTTGCCAAAGAACCTCCTTCGACATCTAGTGTAACTTCACTTAGACCTCCCTGCGACAAGATTTGTCTAGGCCTCAAGCAATCATGGGCATGCCGACGATTTTTGGTATACACACACCAATGGGTTTATCAAACCATCAAGATCTTCTTCTCCAAATTGTGAGGTTGGGAAAAATCTCTAGTGGTAGTCGTTTGGGTCTTAGGGATCTAGGTTATGGTGGAAGCTCTCAATGTAGAAAGATGATTTTCTCTCTTGGAAATCTCACAAGATGCTTAACCTAGGTGTGGGAAAGACCCTCCCAATTTATAGGTCCGAAATAAGGATAGTCTTATTAAATAAGAAAACTCAGATTTGCGAACTACCGCTCGATTGGTAGAAGGGCAGTCATAGGACAGTTGTTGCTGGAATGAAAAACACGTTTAAAATCCGACTAAGGTAAACACCGCTTAAGTGAGCTTATAGAACAAGCCTTATGATGCTTTTTGTGGTCTTTTTTCATTTCCTTCCCTAAGTCATAAAGAGACCGCTCTAATAAAGGTTAGTGAGCATAGATCAGCCTCTACATGTTTTTAAGCATCAAAACATGCAAAAACTTGTCCTCTTGAGCACTAAAGGGTGTTGCTCAAAGAAGGGTCCGATTGTAACTCAAACTATATTTTCAAAACTCATAAATGACTTAAAAAATCTTTTCTTTTAAATCATCTAGAAGTCATAGTCGGATTACTTCCAATTCCATTTTCATCCTAATCAACCTAAGTGAAAAAATAACTAAGGGTTCATTCAGTTATCTAGGTCATTACCTTGTCCTAAGCATGAAGGTGTATACGGAGATTGAATGATTTTACTTTGATGCTTGATCTCCTCCCTTCAATAACGCTTTTAGATCTTAAAATTGATAGCATCATGACCGTGGAATAGGGTGAGATTCACAATGGACTCCACGAAATTAGTCAATTACAAATATGATCTAACAATCTCCCCCTTTGGCCATTTAGTGACAAAATACACAAGTTAGAAATCAAGATTATAACTCAAAACCATTGAACAAAAGAATTGTAAATTTAATCTCAACACTCATTTACATCTCTTAAATCTCTATCTAGTACAAGGATTTACTTCTTTAGATGAAGCTTGAAGATCATAGTCCTGTACATCATCAATCAAACCAAAACCTCGGGAAAAACATCATATGTTAGAAAACTACATAACATAATCACATGTTTGGAAAGTACCAAGACAAGCATAGGGCATAAATATGTATACATCATGCAAGCACAAATATGTAACATATTAAAAACTAACTTGCCCAATATGTTTGAGAACCTATTGATCTATTAATATGAAACACATCAAGTTCTCCCCCTTAGTTGGTGTTCACAAGTAAAACAACAAGTGAAAAATAAACTAAATAAAATATGTGACTTCATGCCAAGTTTGTAAATTTACTCAGAGTTTTTGAACAAACTCCTTCTTTCTATGTTCATATGCAACATATATTGCCAAGTCAAGAGTAAATCTCCCCAATTCCTCTCATATGTAGCTAAAATATTCTCCCTTTTTTTGTCACAAATGTCAACCCAATGACAACATGCAACAAGCAAGATATAGAATCAAGTTACCCAATATATCCTTATCTTATTTGTTATAAATATCAACCTAATGACGACCTATAACAATCATAACATAAAAATCATAGTATAACAAGAAGGTATGAATACACATCAACTAGCCAAATCATGAAAGTAAATGAAGCAAGGGAGAAACAAGACATATAACAATCAAGAGTATGTCACAACAAACCAAAATAAGCTAAACAAATAAAAAGTCAACAAAAGATAAAAGTCAATAAAGAAACAAAAAAGTAATTTAGTATAGGCCATGAATAAATAACAAAACACTCTCAAGCTCACAAATGACCTATACTAAGTCTCTAAAAGTCAGTCACAGTTCATATGGTTGCATCTCCACTATGTGTCTCAGGCTCATCATCCATGATGAAACCATAATTTTGCATCATGTGCCTCAAATGCTGAACATCCCTCCTAATCTCCCTTTGATCTGTCACGCCCCAAAATTCACAAAAAAGCATGATAAAAAAAATTACTTTGTTTATTCCAAAAACACATGTCGGTTTGTTGTAAAAAATCTAAAAAGGTATCTCTTTAGTTTACATAAATCATTTTTTCTTTTAAAACATTTCGATAGAGTTTCCTTTGAAAATCAGGCATTCAGAAAATTGGTGAGAGCTACCTGTGAAAGCAATAAACATAATAATTTTACTTAACTAATCATTTGTATCATATCAATCATATACATCTATTCTCATGATATCCACAAATAAGTCATTACCGTTCAATATCAGGGGGGGCAAATGGAGGCCCACGAAGTCCTCCCAATCCCCGGGTTATAATCTAATTATTCAAAATTTTTCATCTTGAACATAATATACAGAATATCCAAATTTTTTATAAGTAAACCATTTAAAAGGTCCCAATCTATACATTTTTCCTCAAATTAACGAAGATATAAATCATTTACAAATCATCAATAATATACATCATCGTACATTATTCTTTAAATAATCTAACTAATATATAAAAATTATAAAAACTATCTTTTGCCTCAATACTCCCACTATGCAGTCTACTAACACATGCATATAACTGAAAATGTTAAATGATAAAGGTGAGCAACCACACGCTCAGTAGGATAATCCTTTTCTCAAGCATATACAAGATTTTAAATACCAATAGTTCACAATCATAATGATAGATAATGAAATAATTTATCAATAAGTTTAGGTACACGATAAGTAGTAAGCACTTTTGAAAGTACACTATGAACTATCATTTGGAATACATAAGTGAAACATAAAGGAATTTACTACATCGAAATCAAATCTCAAAATAACACTATAAAACCTCTCTTCTTAAAACATAATCCAGCACCATTGATTTTATGAAGTACGAAGTGAGAAATCTTTATATAAGTATATGTATAACAAATCTGGTAAAATAATCATTTCTTATTTTGAACACAATTTCATAAACTTATTTTTTTCAGATTATTTTTCAAAAATATTAACTTCAAATACTTTTGCCTTAACCTCGCCTTAACCTCACCTTACCTCACTCCACTCAAGAGGTATGTTGGAATATTTGTCTATTAGTTTCTTGGCACCCAAAATTCATGTATGCTACCCATATAGATAAATATCATCAAACCAACACCAGTTCATGAATGAACCATCCCTAAGGAATCTTTTGAGTCTTGCACCCTAGGGTCTCATCTTGTGATGCCACACAGGCTATCATCGAAAACCATTACCATCACCAATCCCCCTTAGGACTAATAATCGCCTTGGTAACTCCCTTCAAGGGCCTCAATCGTCTACTAACTCTCAGTTTGTCATTACCGAATATACAAGTTTTAAATCATAATTTCATGATCACCTTTCATTTCCAACACCAAACACAACTTCAATCAAACATCCATAACAAAAATCAATGTAGGATTTCAAACCCACAGTATCCAAATTCATTTAATGCATGTAGGTTTAAAAATTCATAGTAAACTCATCATTTAATTAAGACTCATGGCATATATTTAGCTCATACTAAACAAATAGATATAGAACATACATGATGCATCAATGTATATGCAAGAGAAAGGAAAACCCTACCTCAAAATCCAAGAACCCAAGCTCCACCTTCAATTCTTCAAGTGAATTCAAGAATCTCAAATAATGTTCTTAAGTTGTCAAGCAAAAGTCCAAGCTCTAATGACCTTCTTCTCTCTTTCTATTTCTAATTCTAAGGTTTATGGAGTAGTATAGGGTGAAGACTTACTTGCCAAAATTAAAAAATTGTCCCACAAGGTGGAGAGTCTAGAGGTGAATAGGAGGAAAGAGGTGTCAACATCACTAAGGC